CAATACATCATTACCCAAACTGAAGGAGAAGCTTCGTTTTTGAAGCAGTTTTGTAAGAAAGCTCCCCAGCTGAGGATCTTTGCGTAGGTGTCCTATGTGACCTGCTTGTAGTGTTTTGATTATGCCAAGAGCAACGTACTCTGTCTTTTAAAGGAGAAAAGTATTATTAGTTTGAATCGAGTTTACGACGAGCAAATTAATAGAAAGATAGAAAACTACTGAAATAGGGGAAATAATCTTTAAGACACGAGGATGATTAGGGATTGAGAAAATTAACAGAAACGCCTAATTAAAAAATCTAGGTCAATATTCCAGCAAATCGTCATGTAGCTTTAAAAAGTACATATATACTTGTATATGTAGGGAGCTGACATTGTTACTGTTTATACTGTTACAGAGCTCTGACTCCATGTACGATTTGTCAGAAAGTGGTAGTGTGATGAGTTTCGGATCTCATGGTTCAGTGTCTTCTCTGGCAATGACTCATAGTGGGGCCCCAGAATTGCTTGTCTCACTCTGTTATCAATCTCTCACTGGCCGCCTAACTGTGGAAGTGCTAAAGGCCAGCAACCTCCGTAATGTATCAATGCAACGTGCACCAGGTACTGTGAACTTTATCATTCTTTTATATTAAAGAAATTTTCAGCGTCAAATATACTCCATGGTTGCACTGGTTTTGATCCACTACGCCTTGCGACTCGCACAACCTAATTTTTAACCAATCGAATGCAAGGCTATAGTAAACGGAGATAAGGTAACTTACGTTTTCCCACGCTTAATACAGGTTGTTTGTTTTTGCCTCGAGTCCCCATTGACTCCTTGTCAGTAATATTTTTCTATGTTCCGATTAGCTGCTCTGATAACCGAACTTTGGAAATAACGACACTAAAAGAACTCTGGCAATCCACATTATCTCTGATAATTGAAACAGCTCCAACAAAAAAAACAAATAAACAAGCGAAACTGAACAAAACATACAAAAAACAAAATCAGTCAAAAAAGCAGAAAAACGAGGTCAAGCTTTTCAATCAGCGATTGACGCCAGAAACGCAAAAGTTTTATCTTTCTTTTTAAGATAATAATAATAAACATCGAATAACTTCCACTCCGCTTAAAATCAGGACAAAGTGATCAAAACGCCACACATCATTTACGATCAAAGAAGCTTTGCTGAGAGCGGAATTTTGTAAAGGGTTACTCTCAAAGGTTGATCCGCAATGCATGCGTGGAAAGTAAGGAAACGGTTCACTCCTGGGTTCATTATTTAAAATGCAATTTGTTAAAATTCGTTTTGTAGATTGATTAACCATTGAATTTCTGATCCCCACCAGTTTACTCTGAGTGAGGAGGACAAAGGCTACCGATTATTCAATGGATGGCCGATAAAAGGGTCGAATAAATCAAATCGAACACGCATCATCAATGTATAGCAGTCGATGCAGCAAAAGTACATCCGGTTATTTTTCCATCGTAGTGTTTCAAAAAATTTTCCCAAGAAATTTTGGATTAAGGGGACAGACCAAGGAGGCAAGTGTGGGGAGGAGAGAAGTGTGTACCACCTAGACCACTCTATAGCTTCGTATACCCAGTTTTATGAGCTGCAAGCTGATGTGCGTATTGAGTATTGAAAACGATGCTTTCGATCCTTAAGAGAAGCGAGTATTTTCTCTTCCGGTATAACTGTTGTTCATAGAGCTTAAACACTACGATAAAACAACAATACATCGGACACCAATCAAATAAATACGTTAAAAATGATGCAAATATATAGTTAAAGGAAAACTTCTCTGCCGGCGTTACTCTAAATCTTGATTTAAACGTCACAAAATAAAGTTTAAATGTTCATAAGGGGAAAGAGTTCATAAACCTCTCACTTACTTTTAAATCTTCAAAACATGTAAATCACCTTAAAAGTAATGCGCACCCTTTCTCATTCACTAACAGATTCATACGTGAAAGTCACTTTGTTCTCAGCATCTGGCAAGCAAGTTGCAAAAAGTAAAACTACCATTAGAAAGAGCATGGCTGACCCCGAGTATAACGAAAGTTTCATGTATGAGATTTCCGAGAGAGATCTACAGCTGGTGAATTTGAATATATCTGTGATTGTCATAACAAAGGCGAGGAAGAAAAAAGAGATAGGCTGGCTTACCTTGGGAAAAAATTCTAGCGGGCAAGAAGAAATCAGGCACTGGAATGACATGATACAGGAAAAAGAAAAAACGTTAAGCCGATGGCATACTCTCGCAGACGCTTAATCTTATGCCCAAGTCCCATTTGTGTCATTGCTTGGTCGTGAGAGGTCTGGGTGAAAGACTAGCAGACGCATAGAAAATCCTAAAATCATCAAATGTTAATAAGTTATTCATTAAGGTGTATTGAATAGTTTTCATTCATTACTGTGGGATGATTAAAACAAGTCAGTAAATGAAGGGGTTTAATGCGCAGCAGATAGTTAAAAACACAGATAAGTATCATAAATGATGTGACTTTGAATGCTAGTTTATTAAAAAAAATAAAATTTCTAAATTTGCGGTTCTAAACAGATTGTTTTTCTTCTTGAAATTATCTGGTTTTCTTTCTGTGATAACCATAATCTGTCATTTAAATTGATGAATCGAGAGGGATAACCAATTCTATTCAATTAAGTGAAAAAAAATTAAAATTCGTTGCGTTGCTAAGGGTCGGTAGACAGTTCACCAAACATGCAAAAACAGACATGTTTCCTATGTTAGCTCTTGCGAAATATCGTGCGTAGGTTTTAATTAAGGCATCAACGCTCTCGATAAACAATTCATGCCTTCTAGGCAACTGTAACTTGACTACATGAAGATGCGACCAGCCATCTCAGACCCACAGTATGTTTAACGAATAAAATGCTTTAATATCAACAAACCAAAAAAGTTACATTCGCATCATTCTTAATCGAAATAAATTTCATTCAAATGAGTTCTATATTGTTAGTTTTACAAGTTTAAGCAAAGGAACAGATTTTCCTCTTCAGAAAATATATTTAAACTCACTTTACGCGCGTTCGCACGATCTAACGAGCAAGATGAGCGTCGGGCTAGTAATTGATAATCATATTAAAAGTTTACTTTCCTCGAATTGTTTTACAAATATTAAAATAAGAATGATAGGTTTTGAAGGCTGTTTCAAAAACTGTGAATTTGACGAGGTTTCTTTTCATAACTACTCTCCCCTGGGGCATTGTTTGATTTTGGCACACGAATCAGATACAGATACAATCTACATCACATTGCTTATTTTGAAATAATGTTGTTCGCGACAATTGTATAGTATACAACAGCTTTTTTCGACGATTGTTGATCGTTTGCCAACATATCAGTGGGATCGAATCAATTTTCGTCCTTTTGGTCGACAAAACGTAACAACTCGTTACCGCGACATCACGCGTTCATCGAGATAAGAAACACGCGAAGTTTCGTTTGCACTTGCAGTTGGTCCAAGCACAACCGAGCGCAGTTCTAACTTCCCATGAACACACAGCCGATGCATGAAAAAAAAAATAATAAAAATAACATTTCTATGCTGTAGTGTTTTGAGAGAAATTCCCCCTGCCAAGCTGTACACATAGGCACACAAACACGCCTTCAATGGCGAATACATGAATGAAGAGCAATTTGTCGAGAACATAAACAAAAATTCACAAATGTCGTGAATTCTGGTCGGTCGTGATGTTTTAAAGGGTTTTTAAATTGCACGAGCCGCCGCCGTTTGCATCATGTCTGAGTATCTTAGTGGCTTTTTGATGTATTCCAAGTTAATTTATACCAGCCATCATCACTTTTTTGTTACAAACGGGATCTTGGACATTTTATTTGTCTACCTTTTTTGGCATGGCCTTGCTTTCGTTTTCTTTCCACCCATCTCATAAAAAATTGGTACCGGCGCTTGACGTCTTAAGCAGGTGTTTCTGTAGTCTATGTTTCCCACACAATGCGCTTTGACTAACTTTTGTGATCGATTTCAATTTCAGATACTTATGTTAAAGTGGCAATGTTCAACTCCATTGGACAGCAACTCTCCAAAAGTAAAACGTCAATACGTCGCAGCATGTGTGACCCGGAATACAACGAGAACTTTGTATTCCAGATAATAGAATTTGAACTGCCTAGTGTAAGCCTCATGTTCTCTGTGGTCAACATCAAGAAAATGAGGAGAAAGGAGATTATAGGATGGTTCTCAATGGGCAGGGATAACACTGGCGAAGATGAAGAAGCTCACTGGAAAGAAATGATTGAAGCTAAGGGTCAACCACGGAAGAGATGGCACATTCTAAGTGCTGTGGACTACTAAAAACTGCAACAAATACATTTGAATTCTAAAAGAATCAGATTTATTAAATAAGCAACTTTACAAATGTAGCATTATTAACTAGCTAGGTTTATTTATTTGTTAAATATTTATTTCCCAGTTTCAAGAGTATATTTTTACACAGGAGTGTTTTTTTTTAATTTTTTTTTTCATTTGCATTGCCTTGCTACATTGTACAAAGTTTCAATATTTTGTATTGGACTACTTGGAGTCCATTTGCAGTAAAAATTTTAGGTAAATAATTATAATTTATGTGATAGGACACTGACAAAGGAAAACAAACTAAATGGGGTATTTTGGATGTGGGATCAAAAGTAACACATAATCAGTTAATGATTAAATATGTACCCAAAAAGATGTACTTGGTCACTTTAGATTGTGTTAAGACTATCTAGTTGGAAATTGATAGGAATTACTGCTAAGCTCAAAAGTTATGAACATCTAAAATATGTCTGGAATGCTTTTGGTGTTTTGAACCAATCACATGAGAGATCAGGACAAGATGAGAAACCACAAAACCACAAAATAATCAGCATTACTGCATACAGTTCAGATATCTCATGCTGATTGACTTACTCTAGTTTCACAATAAATTATGAACTAGAGTGTGTGTATTATGAATACTTGTCCCACCTTCCACAACGCCTTCTCTTGACATTAGGATTCCGAGATTATTCCCTCAAGAATGCTAGCCTCCTTAAACTTACTGCCTCTGAAAATTGTTCTTACTAGAGAGCTCTGTTAAACCTTGGGGAATCTGTACTTAGTTAAGTATAATGTCAATAAGCCAATAAAGATTTGAGCCCTCGGATATTTGTATTTGCTCATTTTGTCATTATTTGTTAATGAGTATTACAACACATGCCCAAAATATAAAGAAAATAGTGACTTCAAAATGTAAAAGCTGATAAACATGCAGAGTTGGATAGCTCCAAAAAGACCTAACTTGAATAAAGTTTCTTTCCATATTGTGATATTGATTTACCTTGAGTGTGGGTGAACCTGAGCTTCCAAAACATTAAAAAATGGAGTAACCCTCCCCCCAACACATTGTCTTTTTTAGGAAATTATGAATCATTGGGGGATAGAAGGGAGGAGATTACCATACAGAATTGCAAGAATGTTTGTCCTCTTTCCTTGAGTGATAGTACCAGTATTTTGTTCTTCTTGGGGGGTTTGTAGCATGAAACTCTATATCTGTTCAGTTATGAAGATAGTTTACAAAGTTTCAAGTGAAGAAATCAAAAGGAAAATGCCATCATTCCATAGTGAAAAAATCAATCAGAATGGATGGCATTTTCTTTTTTAAAATCTTCTTTGGGAATTGTACAATCAATTTTCAAAGGATGTAGAGGTAGTCCCAGTTACTTATTTGTAACATGGCAGCTACACTTCAGAGTCAATAAATAGATATTTAATATGTTCTGGGCTGACATCCCATCCAGGGGTGGGTAATAATACTCCTCGTTGCTTCATGATAAGAAGAGCTCTAGTCGCACATGTAATACAATAAAAATTCATGAGAAAATAAGCACACATGCTTTCAAGATAGGCCCAGCTAGAAATACACAACCATCTAGGGTATTTCTTTAACTCATTGCCAAGTGTATATTTTTAGCCCTTTGACTCCCTGAGTGATTAACATGTAGCTTCTCCCTGAAATATCCATACATTATCCAACAAAAGGGTCATGAGAATACTCAAACTTCTCAGGTAGAAGTTGTCATCTTGATCTAACTACAAAGTCTTGTCACTAGTTTAGAAGGAAATGTGTGGGAGCTAAAAGGGAGAATTAACAATCAGATCTTGGAAGTTTAGGGGTTCATGGTTCAAATTATCCCTTGCCATTTTTCATGATTCTTTTTTTTGTTTTGGTTTGTAGATGTGAGTTGACACCTCGAAGAGATTTCATTGCGTTTTGTACCAAAATTTTATCTCAAAGGGAAAATATTCCATGAAACAGAATCCAATTATCCCACCTCCCCTCCCCCCCCCTCCCATCTTGCCCAGGCCTGGAAAAAAATTTCGAGAGAAATTCTTTTTCATTTCAGTTGGCATTGTAGCTATTCAACACACGGATTCCATGTTGCCATTTGTCTGTATGTCTATTCTACTACATTTCAGATGAATCATGACCTCAAAATGTCACTGATGTCAATCAAAATGCGTGTATAATTCAGCTTATCATTTAACATTCATTCAGTCATTTCATCACCGAATACCTATTGCTGACTTGTATTTTCGAGACTAGATACGGCTTCTCTTTCATTGCATAGATTACCTTGCGCTCTATTTGGTAGTTAGACACTTGCTGCTGGTACCAGTGATTTCTGTCAAGTCAAATTGCATGCTTCAAATCTTAAATACAGCGGAAAATGGACCCTAGAAGCAAATAAATTCCTGAAATGCCTCTCATTTCCTGTAGCTTACCAAGGCTAGTTTAATTTTTCTCGATTACTTTTTGTTGTATACTGAAGTTGTAACGCACTTTGAACGATAACAGTTTCCAGGAGCAGGGAACCAAAGTACCACAAAGGAGCATAGTCAAAAGTAATCAACCCCATTATGTGGAAACGTGTATATTCAGTGTAATCCCAAGGACAAGCATTGAACTGCCGTAAAATCAAACCGGTGGAAAACTCCCAAGCATACGTCCATATAACGTAGATAACACCACGCAATACTATGTTAGTCCTGTCTTTTAGGGACAGATACATTCTCTCAACAACATAGGACGAAACTGCATAAATGGGAAAGCTCCAAACCGATGTACAACCATGAAGTTTCCAACCGTGCCGGTATTTAGCTGAGTCAATAAAGTACCATGTTGCAGTGAACATCACTTCGGCGAAAAAGCCACACAGGCCGTACAGAATCAGTCGGGAGGTTAGTGGCAGACAGCCTTGTTCACCTTGACCTTTTTTAGTCGCGTCCATAGTTAATCTTAACCTTTTAACTGTTTTTTCTCCCCCTTACAAATCTTTAAGTACCAAAACACGACGTGTCAGATCGTCTTACCTGTGTAGCGCAGTTACCGGCACACTCATCCCCAGGATCTCTCGTTAATTCTAATTCAAGATGGACGACACATCGTGGGGGAAAGCGTCGATCATTTACAAATAGCAGTTGCCATCGTAGATCATGAAGAAGCCAAAGAGAGTGTACAAGCAGAAATTACTGTTAAGTGAAGGCACGAAACTGAAGTTAAAGAGTGAGTAGTTGTTACCCTCCAAAGAGATCTGATTAGTAAGCCTTGCTAGTGTGCTCACGGAAAATCTCCTCTGAAACGCTATCGAAATTGTAACTGCGCGCTTCTAAAGTGTCGTGACTTTGAGAATAAGATTCAAAGAGCCGTGTGGTTGAGATCTACACAGTCCGGATAATTTGATGTAATCAAGCTCGTTCCTTATATTTTTTTGTCTTCAGTGTAGATGAAAATTAGGGAATTGGAATTAGCCGATCAAAGGGAAAGGGGATTAGCGAATCAAAACATTTGTTCACAAACCCATGGAGCAGCGTAGATCTTGACCAAAAAATGCATTTGTGCACGTGTATTACAGTAAAATATAGTCGTAATAACACAGTGTCTGAATTTAGTGCCTGATTTTGTTTTCAGACAAAGTTTGTTGCAGGGAAAATAACTAATATGGTTCTTGCATGTATTTTTTAGGAATTTGTGAATCTGCTGATGAGGTTGAAGTACCAAAACTTTTGTTAAAGTGCTTGGAAGAAGATGATACCACAATACATTGTGCTTTGTTAAAAAAGGTTTTTATATTCTTCTTTTCTTTTTTAATGTTACCAAGTACTTTAAGTTAAAAATAATATAAAAGTGTCATTTGATATATCTAAGTTTCCTTCACTTTGTCTTTTTTAAGGCTGGTACTGTTTTTCCAGATGAATGCAAAATCAAGCTGTCATCTGATGAGGCTCACACATGTCTTGCTGCTCTGGCTGAATTTTATGTAAAATGTGACTCAAAAAATCCTTCAAAGAAAATTATTTCAAGGTATCTTGATTTGAAACTGTCAAGTCATGAAGTTATGTACATTTTTACTTTTTTTAGTATAAATGATAATAATGACAGATATTTATATGTCACTTAGGTTGCTTTGATATTTATTTAACACATAGAAT